TGCCGATTGCGATGACCGAGCTGGCCCCTCGGTTGTTTTCCTCACTTTAGGATGTGAGCTTCTGTGTCTGAGTGACCATTAGTGCGAGGGTGCAGAACTGTGCACTGTGTTCTAACACAGCCGGGGGCGTGGGAAGCAAGTGCAGAGTGCAGCTGTGCAGATTACCTCGAGGGGCGTTGGAGCTCCAAAGCCGACTGAGTTGGAGCTTTGATGGCAAAGCAAGCCATGCAAATCCCACCTAAGTTTATATGACGGCGTCTCCCAAATGGTCCGAACTTTTAAAACGGTCAGTTCTGTAAACCCAAATGGTCGCAACTTTGTCTAGAATTCAATGTTTTTGCAGTGACTGTTAATGAGTGTGTCTCATGACTCCAGTAACAGCATATTCAGCATCTATGGTAATTGAGTAGCTTTCCTGCCTGTGTGTGTCCCCTCCCCATTTCTATGTCCTTAGCACTGGCCACAAGAAGGATTGGCTCTTTCTCACACGCCCCCTCCATTGCCCTGGCAACATCGATTCCCAGTCCAATTACAAGGAAGCAATAGGATCTAGTGAGGCACTGCTCTTATTAGAAATGTAGATCATTATGACAGGAGTGACAATCCAAAATCTATAATTCATTCTAGCTATCTGCACTCCACATACACCACCGCACTTCTGCCTGGCTACCAAAAACAAATCCTGACCTTTTCATGAAGCTTCCTAATCTGCCTGCATCATCCAGTGAACTATACGGTGTCACCACAGCAGCCTGACTGATGATCTGCACACTTGAATGAACAATGTGTCCCAAATATGCATTCTCTTTTATTTTAGGTTAAAACATTACTGTCTTTTGTCTGTATGCATCGTTATCTCTCCATATTAACCACTGATATTGTCTCATTTGTATCATGTAACTGGCAAATTAGCATAAAGGCTGTCAGAATTGTCTCATTATGATCCAGGTGTGAACACAGAATTGTTTGAAATGCAAAAGGAGAGTCACATCTCCAGAAAAGAAGCACGATTTTGAATGCCAGCCCGGTTCAGTCTTAACCCCTGTGCAGCAGACAGGGAGTTAGATGAGAGTGGATGAATTTGACAAAAAGGGATCACAGATCAGTGCGGGTGTGTGGCTTAAAGGGGGACAGTTGGAAGCCTGAAACTTGAGAGCCACTGAGCTCGCTGTTATTTGTATGCTCAGCACATCGGACTCGGCGCAGGGACACTCAGTGCTGTTGTTTATTCTGCTCCAATTTGAGCCCCCACGCCCATGTCAGGGCTCGGCCTAATATTCGGTGGTCCCATAGCAACACCTGAGGTAGGCCCCCCTGCCAATGGTCCCAATCCCCTCCACGCCCTCAGGATTATTAAACACTGCATCCAGAGGGGAACCGTAAACCGTAACCTGGAAAAGCTGAAGCAGGCCCTCTCTGTAATGTTTTAGTCATCTGGCACCCACACAGGCTGGTGACAGCACACACACACCTTACACACACGCATGTGTGCACACAACTGCATTGGGGAGCGTGGAGGACTATGCAGATTCAGTGCAGGTGCAACTTTTAACCCTCTTGTCACCGAGCTCTTAGGGACAGATTGAAGGTATAAATAACCACAAACCCAGTCTAATCGTGTGTGCCATGACGACGAAAAAGAAACGATGCCACTGCTGGTGATTGGGAATTTGATCCAAAGCAGGGATGCAGCCTTGAATTGCTATTCAGAGGAGATCATTATTCATCACAGTAGCAAAAACGCACGAACACATATCCAAATATCCTTATCCGACAGGTTATCATTTGTCTAATTCGAGCCTTACCTGCGTCAAAGTGAGAACTGAAGGCAAAACTAGGATTGAAAAACGCCGAAGACATGACAATCACATGAAGGGCAAAGACCATCCTCCTCGTCGCGATGCAGCACAGAGCAAGTCTAATTGGAGAAGAAGAAAAAATGATAGTCAAAATAAAATTCCTGGATCAGGTGCGATTGGGATTCACATGACCTGCTGTAGAAGCTGTGATGCGCAGCGTTTTAATTCCATAACACCTCACAGAGAGAAGATCCTGCTTCACCTTCAGCTCGAGCCCATTTGGGGACAGATGTTGACAGACGATGCCATTACACCACATTTGTTGGTTTGCTTTTTCTTTTCTTTTTTTTTTTTTAACAATATCCCGCCACGGTTAGTCTTTTTCTTTTTTTTTATTGCCAAGCTTGCCACATTCAGGACTCGGTCATCAGGTGAGCTTCGGACCGATTTTACGGACAGAAAAATCTTGACGCTCCAAATATTTGCTCATATCCCAGTTGTCTTCCTCTGAGAATAAATCTGGTTCATCTCCTGGCTCAGACTACTCTCTGCATGCCGTTGATTCGCAGGACAGCTCGTTCGTTTTAAGGTTCTACAGGCAGTGAGAATCATGCGTATTTTGAGGTCTCAGCCTGGGTACTGGGAGACCGAGTGACATCTTGCAGTAATGTGAAGTCAAAGTAAAGTAAAGAGAGAACTTCCGGTCAAGCTTTCGAAATAAAACCAGATTCATCTTGTTCTTGCTCTTGTTGTACTTATTATTATTATTATTATTATTAGCAGCAGCAGCATAAGCTTTAGATCAGTTCACTTTTCTAGTGCAGGCATGAAAAAAACTGTTACAGTTTAAGAGAGCACTGCTGGATCTATTATATCTATCAAAATTAATAAGAGGAAAAGACTCCAAATCCTCTTTAAAATGACTGGTAAGTACATGAGAATGGCCCAGACAGCATTTCCCAGTGAGTACCAAAAAGGACCACAACATCCCCAAGGGTCTGTAAAATAAACACACGCAAAGCAAGTCAGAAAACAAAGTGATTTAATTTTTGTTTTCCATTTTCATTTAATGGCTGTCTGTTATTTTGAGCACTGAAAAGCACTGACCTAATAACTCAGGAATTATTTAAACTCAGGGTCTCTGAAACCTCATAGTAGCACATGAAGGATTTTGCACATTAATCGAGTCTCAATTAAAATGAGAACATACTATTTGAAATTGTAAATCAAATGAATGCACTAAAGAAAGTGACAACAGTTGTGAGGCAGTAAAAGCTTTACAGTAGTGTGGAAAACCATTCTGAATAAAGTAATACAGAGATCAATCATTTGGCATTTGAGGTGTTGCGTTTTATGTGAAAACAGTGACTAAGAGGGTTTCTTTATATCCATAAATTTTCACCACATGTGAAAATATGAAATTCCAATTTCCTTAATTATTTTCACCCTATAATATAGCCAACTTCCTGAAAACTGATGAATTCATTGCATATTATTTGAGAGATGAGGATTTACTAATACAAATTTATCTAAAACTGGCTTGATAAATGACCTTAAGTTTAGATGAACTCATAAATCAATTTAAGATAAACTATTTTAATAATTATTATTATCCTTTCTTATTTTTGTGTACACATCATGTCCTTGTTAGTTACGTTGTCCCTCTCACACCACCAAGTGGCCAGTAGAAAATAGTGAGATGAGTCAGATTTACCCATCTATGTTCTACCTGTTCTTAGGTTAATTCAGGATTGAAAATGGGATTGGTTCCAGCCTACCTACTGCTGAGTGAGGGCCACAGACAAACAACCCTGCACAAAAACATTCAATCTTAGGGTTGATTCGGAATTTCTTAACACTTATCTGTTCGGTTCGTCAGAGGAAACCCGAGAGTTCGGAGAAAACTCACATATGCTTGTAAAGAACATGCAAACTCTAAAAACAAAGTGGTCCGGTTGGGATTAAATTCCTGCGCCTTCTTTGTGTGAGGATAAAGCAGTAACCACCATACCATTATGCAGACCAGTGACTCAGACCTATGAGTCAGTGTCCAAACTGTCCAAATTCAAATGTTCATTTTGTGTCCATGTCATCTTACCAACACAGTTTCAGCCTGTAATCATATTAACAGAATTGAGCTCATTTTTTAAAGAGAATAACAGAGTACATAATAGAACATTATGATATATTTTGTTGTCATATATCTGAATGTACACCAGAGAGCAGCACTGGATCACAATCCATGGTACATCATGTTTGATCATGCAAAACTCTAACTCATGCTTTTCTCATACAAATTTCTGGATAGCACCTCCTATCGTCGGTTTCTCTGTGATGAGGTGTTATGTCAAACGGCCCACCCAACTCTTCTCTAATCTTATCTGTGAGGGTTTTTTTTTTTATTCCACTTCATTCTCAGCATACACTGGCAACATGTTGAGGACCATCTGCTGTCTCCTCACGGCACTAGCCTGTGAGGAGGCTGACCTACTGCAGATCTGAACTCATGTTGGATCTAATCCCTCTAAGTGGTTTTCTTGACTTGTCATAAATAGTTTGCAGGTGTGAGTGGTGTGGTTGGGGTTACACATGAACCTCCTGTTGTGTCAGTGAATTATAGAGAAACTGCTAATATGGGCTGTGATGTTTTCACTGATGATGGGGCATATAAACATAGTCCCAAAGGAAGGTTCCTATTCGCACTGAGAAATAATTACAGTATGGATCTGTTTTTTTCATCTCCCAGGTACATGTCAATTCATTTGCTCATCAAACAAAGACACCAGTATCTCATCACTTTAAGCCATGTTGTCATACCTGAAATGGTCAGTTGCTTTTAGAAAAAAAGGTTTTTCTATGCCTGCATACAGTTGAAACTGAAACTTTGATTTACATGACGCTGTAAAAATGAAGCCTAAGGCAGCAGGTGCATCCTGGGATGACAGAACAAATGGTACTGAGAAGTGACGCTTGACTGGCAGAGGATGAAAAATTCAGTTTCGTTAATGTTATAATTAAAACATCTCAAATCAGGAAATTCAAACCAAATTTAAAAAGAAAATCCTGCTAGTTTTAATCTGTATCTAAGAACTGTATGTCTCCATGATATTTATGAGATCATGCATTTTCCAGCAAAGGTATGTGTTTACTGTGTATCACTTTCATTATTATTAATGAGTAAATCATTGGTAGAACTGTCAGAGTCTTAGTCTCTGGTCTTATCATTATTTTCCTGATTTTATATTTAACACACAGGATGTTCATTTATTCATTGACTCATTCACCAGAGTTTAGCTGAAGGATGAGATGGTTCGTTAAAGAAAACAAAAAAATATATATATATTTCAAGCACTGACAGAAAGTATTCATTCAGTAAATATTGTCAGCGGGACAAAAGGAGAAGTGTTACTGAGGTTTTTGTCACAGTGTGAATCACTGTGATACGTGCTCCTTAGCAGAGCTGTCCCATGTCTTACAGTGATACACTGCAGAGTCTCCTTCCTCTGCATTGTTGATGATCAAACGAT